GACAAATTAAGCCGTTTGTAGTAGCGTATCCAAGTTGTCGGGAAGCGATTGTGGCGTAAATCAACTCAGCACACGCCCAACTGCGAAATTTCCACCAAGGATATAATACAGGCCTTCTTATACGAGATAGTAACGTAGGTAATAAAAACTAAATACAGCTATATATATAACCAACAGTTCAATTGCTAGTATAAAAACGATAGGATATTAGGCAGTTAAGACTGTTATGTCTAATAAATGGCACGCGAATAAGACGTGTACCATTTTTAGGACCTTTTTTTAACCATGGGGAATTAAGTAATCCTTAGTTATATTAAAATTGAATGATTATTTATTTACTATGATATCTTATCCATGTCCCGTTTCTTTTATTCCCTGTGTAGGCCCTCGTCCAATTTATTTTGGTGCAACCCATAATATATGCCCTCCTAATTACGCCTCTGTCGTTTCGTACCTGCGGAATCACTTTGTTCTTTAATTTACAATGGATTTCTTTTCACCTTATTTACCGACGACTGGTCCTTGGATCTTTGATGAATTCTGGTATCCGCTGATTAGGAACAGCGCCAATACTTATACCAATGCTTACCCTATCGACCCTCTCCTAGGCGAGTACGGCGCCCAGCCGGTTCTTATTGATCCGCCGGCTATTGTCAATCAGCCAGCCTTCCAACCTACACCTAGACCTAAGCCAGCTGAAGACAGGGCGGAAGCATCTTCCTCCTCCCAAAAGTCATTTAAGTGCGCCGCACCTGAATGCGCCCACCTCGCATGGGCAAGGTTGGAGCATCTTAAACGACACACGTCCATGTATTCTACCTCACCTACCTACATATCATATAGAATTTCACTGAGATGGACGATAGTCACCATAATAAAGACGCAGAACAATTCCCCTGCCCGTTCTGTAGTAAATCTTTCAACCGACGAGACAACTGGCGACAGCATTTGTCCCGACATACAAAGTCCAACGGAGGCCGGAAGATGAGGCTAAAGTACCATCCCGAAGCTAAGAAAATGTACGAAAAAGAGAAGCAACAGCGACGAAGCCGCCGGCGTGCCATGAATGAAGAGCAAATAGATGCGCGACCCTATTGGTCAACGTAGCTGCTACATATATATATTACGCTTTGGAAATGCGCCTGTAGTATAATTGATTAATAATGATGGATGGCAACTTGCATGCATGGATCTCCTGTCATGTGAATAGATCTCCCCTCGGGGCGAGTGAACCACCCCCGCCCTGATGTTACATTGGCAGTGAGTGCAAGCTGTAGGTATGTATATTCCCTTGGTTACCAACTTGCTACGGCACCCCTTGCGACGCTACCTGGGTACCTAGTCGACCTTTTTCCATTACCTTACCGCGAAAGGAACCTACCAGGTAGATGTGGGTTGATCCTTCCTTAAGAAGGCAGCTTTAAACCGTTTCTGTGAGAAGGGGTGTCGGTTATGCGGCAACGGGGCTGGGTAGGACGGGCCGCAAAATGCGAGGATAGAGACGTAGCTCGGGCCGATCTTAAACACTTTGCAGGAACCAACCCCATGACTTACGGCTACTGCGCATCTCTATATTATTGCATATTACCGTATAAATACCATACCTTGAGTTCAGCCCGTCTGGCATAAAAGCACAATACGTACCTACGTAAGTATGCACTATTAATGGGGCTATTACCACATCTATCACGCTGTACGTATTTGGGTTATATAGATCGTTGGTTCATTCCCGGGGTCAGAAGTTTGCTCCTTGTAACTTAGCTTGGACAGCGCCAGCCGATAGATAAGTCCCCTTGTTCCATCTTTTCTCGTTTCCCGGGAAGGCCAGCCTATCTGCGTGATATAGCATCGAAAGCCATATCAGGGCTGGAGTTTATTCGAATGTATATCAGCCCTGAATGGCATTTGATATATTGGAAGTGCCACTTCGTAAGCCTGTCGGGGACCGTGATGACTGGATTCTGTACCTTACCATCTCTTCGCGGACGGCTTTGAATGAGTACAAAACGCTCGTACGGTAAGGCAAAGCCAAATAGAGAAAGAAACAGACAATAACACGACAAGTAGTGTACAGCAAAGGAGACTTTTATCGTATATTGGAGACCAACTGGAAACTTCACAGGTACCCTGTCTATGAGAAACACAGCCTGAAATCCATCCTTGAAGGTATTTCCGCCGGTGTTGGCATCCCCTGACTAGCCCAAGTGCCCTCGGCCCTCCAAACGGGGTAACACTTGCTTCTACCGTTCTTTCGCCAATTTCGTTACGAATGATTCGAGGCGATCCGACCAGACCTTTAGCTTCCGAACGTTCTCGTTAGTCTCCTTATTAAAGCGAGCGGTATCATCTTGCATCCTACTACGGCGTTAGCAACCAACACTGCTTTTCAATAGAGGACCTGCTAACTTCGTATTGAGATCGGCTAGCTGCGCTTCTATCTTTCCCCAGATTCTGTCTTCGATCTGGGCTAGAACCTTGGTCATGACCTCCGATACGATCTGGGGAACGACCTGGTCTCGGAAAGAATCGATCTCCGCCTTGGTTTCCTGCAGTGTTGTTCGCACCCCGAATGTACCTACATGGTCTTCGAGCCGTGAAATAGGTCCAATACCATCCTGTTGCTCTGTCTTCCCCGCCCCTTCTTCTTGCGTAGCTGGCTGCGGTAGAATCGGCTCTTCTGCTATCGCACCGGAAAATAAACCCCCCCACCCGCAATCACCTGCTTGTAGACTGGGGTTGTTTGTTGAAGTGTTTGTAGCATCGAGAAAGGGGGGGCATAGCGCATCCATCGTAGGGTAGCCAGGATTGCAATTGGTGCAGC